TACTTTGTTTTATATTTATCGCTGAACTGATGTTGAATTATAATATTTAATTCCAGTAAGTCACTAAGTTTTTGAATATCCAACTGTTGATACATGTAATGTAAAGGTCTATTTTCATCTACATACAAGTTTTTTACTACTTTATTTAAGATAGAATTTATTTTATCTTGTAAATACTTTGCACAGTGCCCGTATATAGTAATTCCATATACTAAGACATTTTCCAAAGCTATGATATATCATCTTTAATATTGGTTGAGGTAAACACGATCTTAGGTGGTATAATTGGGCTGCAACTGATCTAAGACGTTTACAGATGTGTTCCACATGTTGGCTCCATTTGAGATGCTCGTCAATGTATAGTCCTAGGTATTTCACACTCGTAGTTCGTTTCAGGGGTTCACAATTACAATTTTTACATGAGTCACTATGTATCTTTATATTCCCTTCCATTTGAGTTCGTCTTTGTGGACTTCTAAAACACATCAACTCTGTTTTCTTAGTGTTAATTATAATTTGATTTTCTTTGTACCACTTAACCAATTTGTAAACATCCTCTTGAATTTTATTTTCGGCTGTCGTATAGTCTTTATCTGCATACAGAATAACGGTGTCGTCTGAAAACTGAAACAACACGCTATTTAAATGAACATTCACAATATCGTTAATATATATATTAAACAATATAGGTCCAATACAGTCCCTTGAGGCACTCCCTGTTTTACTAGTCTCTTTTCACTGAAGCTACTTGCTATCTTGACAACCTGAGTCCGACCAGAAAGGTAGTCCTTGAACCAGTCTAATAGTTGGCCTCTGACACCTAAAGAGAATAGTCTGTCTATTAGTGTTTCATGCCTTACTGTTTCAAATGCCCGAGAAAAATCTATAAACAGTGCTAGCACATAATTCCCTTCGTCTAGTTTCTTATTTACGAAATCACTAAAGTCTTCTAGTAGAGTAATTGTACTTGAATTTGTCTTGAAACCATATTGCGTTTTTGTTAATAGGTTATATTTATTAATGAAGCCATTTAACGCTTTATGGACATATTTTTCCATTATGTAATTAAGGACTGGAAGAATACAGACAGGCCTATAGTTAAGAAGAGTTTTTTTATCTCCTTTCTTGTAAATCGGTCTTACCACAGCTGTTTTTAAACCACTTGGTACGTTCCCGATGGCCAAGCTCTTATTATACAATGCTAGCAATACTGTCTTAATTATATTTACATTTTCTTTGATGTCGCGTGGTCTGATCGAGTCGATTCCAACTGCTTTGTTTGTTTTCATGTTACTTACTATTTCTACTAGATCTTCCTCGGTCATTTCAGGGAGATACATTGAGTTTCCAATTCTAGCTCTATTTTCCGTTTCCTTTTGGTATCCACGATTGCAAAGTAATTCTATTGATTGTATAAAGTCGTTATTAAAATCATTTGCTATTTTCTCATCATTGCAGTATGTCCCAAAGTTCTTTTTGATTGTTTGATCTATTGACAGTCTAGTGTTTCTACCCAGTACTTGATTAATTACAGACCAACATTGAGTTGGATCCTTGGTGTCTTCAAACTTTTTCCAGAAATAATTTCTTTTCTCCTTTTTTATTATTGATGTCACTTTATTTCTTATGGATCTGTACTCTTCCTTGCGTTGGCTGCTTTCTGGACTGCTTTTAAGTAGTCGCCACGCTTTGTTTTTTTTCCTGATTAGTTGATCTATTTCTTTTGTCACCCATTGGTTCCCTGTTTTCCTTTTCTTTACGGTGACCTGTTCAGACGACTTTTTATATATATCCGTAAACGCATTTTTTATTTTATTGTATATAATTACGGGGTCTTCTTCATTGGCTATGCTTTCCCAGTTTATCTCTCTCACGTATTTATCTACTTTTGTGTTGTTGATATACGTAGTTACTTGGTCCCTTTCGCTTTCAGGAATACCCAATTCTGGAATTGCTATTCCCACAAAGTAGTGGTCGGCTAATTTTTCAGCAATGACGTGAGCTTTACAGTATTTTTTGCTCCTAATGCAAATATGGTCAATACATGATCTTGTCAATTGCAAACCCAAAATTTCTTCTCTCGTAATATCTTTAATCATTGATTGAAGTCCATGTTCAGCCAAGCAATTTAGGTACTTGTCTACTAGATTACTTTGCTTAGTTATATCAATATTTATATCTCCAGTAATTATTAAATTTTTCGAATTCTCTACCTTTATCCAGTTATCGATATCGTCAATGAATTCTGCTATATTTCCTTGAGGTGCTCTATATACTGCCAGAATTTGTATCTGTTCCTTTTCATTCTCAATATCTATTTGTACTGCTTCTGCCCTCGAAAAAGTTATTTTTTTACTATTCTTTATATTCCACTTTTTATTGACCATAACCATGATTCCACCTCCTCGCTTGTTCTTTCTGTTATTTGTAATCGTTTCAAAACTTTTATTTTGGAATAATGCTCCGTCGCAGTCCTTTATGTTCGTTGCAGATATGACTAAGCAATCAATAGAGTTCATGAATGGATCAAGAAGTAGGTTCATTTCACTGTAGTGTTTCTTCAAGCTCCGTATATTTACATGTAACAAAATGAAACTGGTTTCGTTTGCTCCTGGTGAAATCTCTTTCCACCATTCTTTGAGTGATGAAATCGTTTGTTTTCTTTCCATGTCACCCATCGACTGTAGCGGCTGCATTTACATTGCACTTACTTTATTTTTACCTGGTCCCCTTCGTTCTCAATCCGGATAGTTGATGCGCCTTCTTCTTTTCGCACATACGTACAACCTTCTTTGTGCCAAATAAACTTGTACCCCATGCTTTTTGCCTTCGCTCTTGCTTCAAAAAACGTCTTTCTGTTTTGTGCAGTCATGTTTTCTTGGATAAAAATAGTGCCGGTATCATCGCCACCCCTCAACTTGCTCTTGTTTCTTAGCCACACGTTCCTATCGTTACGATTGATAAATCGCACTATCACCATGGGCGTTTTGCTGCCTTTGTTTGGAACCCGGTGCACCGCTTCGACGCTATCAACTTTTAATCTAGGCACCTCTATTTTGTCAGCAATTTGATTCAGCTTTTCGAGCAAGTTTTCATCCTGGGTTTGCACTAACCCATGTACTTCTAGATTGTTCATTCTTCCGTACTGCTCCAGCCTGTTTAAATCTTTCCTTAGTTGTGACGTTTCGTCAGTTGCCTTCTCCTTTTCGAGCACAGTGATTCTTTTCTTCAGCTCTTTAATTTCGGTGTCTTGTTCCGTCATTTTCTTTAACACCTCGTCGTACTTGTCCGACATAGTCTGCATTGATTTTTCAATGTCTAGCACTGTTCGTTTTACAGTCATCAACTCATCTACTTGTTGTTTCAGCGGCGTGAGTACTGCCAACATTCTTGTCATTTCTGTCAGTTGTTTTTGTATGTTTGTGGTATCATCCGTATTGCTCCTAGTTCTCACTTTCGCTCCCCGACAAGTTTGACATTTCCAGGTTTCTTTGCATCCCGTTTTTTTTCCGCGAAAGGTGCTTTTGCTAGTACCCGAGCAAGCGCCAAGGTGATAACAAAAGTGACACTCGCAACATTTTAACACACTCTCTTTCTCGTTATCTTCAATACTTTTTTTACAGGTTAAACACCTTTCATCAAGATCGTTTGCTCTAGCCATATTCGTGAACACTCGCAACGGCCAGTCAGTCAGTCAGCGACAGGGATTAGCTCTGAATTTAGTAGGAAATGAAAATCCTCCCACCTGCGGATGCAAGTTCTTTTAGTTTTCGCTCTCGAGCCCTGTCGCTGACTGGCAGCTGTCGTCTGGCGCTCCTCTTTATGGTGTCCTGGTGTCGCTCTAGTCGCTGCTCTGGTGGCGGTTGTCCTGGACGGTCCGATGTGGCAGCGTTCCTCCGGTGACTTCGCTGTTGGTGGATCCGCCCCTTCAGCTTCGGCTCTTTCCTTTGTTGTTATCTGCGGATGCAAGTTCTTTTAGTTTTCGCTCTCGAGCCCTGTCGCTGACTGGCAGCTGTCGTCTGGCGCTCCTTTTTATGATGTCCTGGTGTCGCTCTAGTCGCTGCTCTGGTGGCGGTTGTCCTGGACGGTCCGATGTGGCAGCGTTCCTCCGGTGACTTCGCTGTTGGTGGATCCGCCCCTTCAGCTTCGGCTCTTTCCATTGTTGTTATCTGCGGATGCAAGTTCTTTTAGTTTTCGCTCTCGAGCCCTGTCGCTGACTGGCAGCTGTCGTCGGGCGCTCCTCTTTATGATGTCCTGGTGTCGCTCTAGTCGCTGCTCTGGTGGCGGTTGTCCTGGACGGTCCGATGTGGCAGCGTTCCTCCGGTGACTTCGCTGTTGGTGGATCCGCCCCCTCAGCTTCGGCTCTTTCCTTTGTTGTTATCTGCGGATGCAAGTTCTTTTAGTTTTCGCTCTCGAGCCCTGTCGCTGACTGGCAGCTGTCGTCGGGCGCTCCTCTTTATGATGTCCTGGTGTCGCTCTAGTCGCTGCTCTGGTGGCGGTTGTCCTGGACGGTCCGATGTGGCAGCGTTCCTCCGGTGACTTCGCTGTTGGTGGATCCGCCCCCTCAGCTTCGGCTCTTTCCTTTGTTGTTATCTGCGGATGCAAGTTCTTTTAGTTTTCGCTCTCGAGCCCTGTCGCTGACTGAAGCAGCTGGTTGCGATCTTTCAATTCTTATAACCGTTTACACTGAAGAAAACTGATGATGCTGTCCGAGCAGAAGCTTTTGATCCGTTTGAGCATGGTGTTATGCGTGAACCACTGAAAGGGTACGGCTTAAAACTAGCCTGTTGGAATATCCAGCAAAACTAGGACTTTCGATTAATGGTCATGAAGGACGACGACGACGACGCACCTAAACGGATGCTTGATTTCTCACCTCTGCAAGTAAATCAGTTTTTTACTATCATTTTGGTAATTTAAACTACAACCCCCCTGGGAGCGTTCGCAAAACCTCTTGGGCAGTCATCCTGACCGAAGCCCGTACTCCGAGCGACGCAACCATGAGCGAATCCACCATAGGCTCTGAGAGCTTCGATGACAACGATATAGATGACGCAGAAAAAGAGGGTTCCGGCTGGACCCTCAACTGTAGGAAGCGACGCCACCTCTCCGGGTGCTCTGCTTCACGTCAAGCCACCATCATTGATGCCCATCACGAGAACCGGACGGTCATCGTCAAACCCCAAGACCCGACAAAGCTCATCGCGAAGATTAACCCTCTAACTCTATCTCAAGAGCTAGATTCCATCACACTCCATGGAGTGATTCAAATTCGACCGAACTACAGACTGAACCTCCTTGCAATTGACATGCGGGACAACAGCTCCATGCAAACGATCCTTACTTTAACAATTCTATTAGGGATCAAAGTCCAGACCTACGAAGCTCACCCACGATCTTCCGCCGTAGGAATTATTCGTGACGTAGACAAGGACATCACAGAAAGCGACCTCAAAAAGGCTATAAGCGCAACTACGCCAGTCATCCTAGTCAAAAGGCTAGGCGCTTCAGAAACGGTGAAACTTGTCTTTGCAACCGAGACCATGCCAGAACACGTCGTTGTGGGACATATACGCTTCAGAGTACTGCAGTACACCGACAAACCACGACAGTGCCACAAATGTCGGCGGTTCGGGCACATTCAGACCGCATGCCCCCATGTGCAACGTTGCAGCCGCTGTGGCGGCACTCACGACCGCATCGACTGCCAAGCCGACCAACCTAGGTGCGTCAACTGCAAAAGAAAGCATGAGGCGACCTCTTGAAGCTGTCCCTTTTATAAAACGGAAGCAGCTGTATCGAGCTATCGTCAAACCCACAAGGTCAGCTGCCCACTAGCGAAATCAGCTGTCCTCTCCGACAACAAGAACAAAACTGCTGGAACTCTGAATCCATCTTCCAGGAACAGCCAAAACGAGAAAGTGGAGGATGCTATGATGCCGCCACTAGACGACGATCACTTTCCTGCTCTTCCACGTCAGTCAGCTGCGTCCACATCCGCATCAACTAGCGTTGGACCCGAAACATCACCGCGGCAACACCAGGACAACTTCGCAAGAGTGATAAAAACTTCTGCTCAAAGGGCTAGCGACACAACGTACCGATGTCGTACCCAAGGCTCCGACAATAATACTGAACCTCAAGGACTAGGATCCGCGGTGTACACCCTTGCGACGCTACTTCGTACCTTTCTGGCCACACTGGAGCACCCGCTCGCACGAGCAGGCATTACCCTAATTGACTTCACATTACCTCTCGTCCACTCTTGGATCAAGTAGACTCAGGCAACTGCCAGAGCCTTAACAGATATTAATACCAACACCATGCTTGATACCCGAACGATCCCCAAAAAACGATCACAAACCCCAAAACGCCTTAAAAAACTTCCATCTATCATCCAATGGAATACCAATTCGTTCCACCGTCGCCTGCCAGAGCTTCGTCGCAGACTCATCGAACTTAAAACAGACGTACTTCCTCTGCAGGAGACATACACCCAGAAGGGTTCCCAGCGAATCTCCCCTTACGTGGAGTACCACAGCGTCACTGCTCACCCCGATGGAAAATCAAGGGCTTCCCTTTTAGTCAAGCGACACTTCCTGCATGGAGAAATAGATCTGTCTGACCTGAACACCACTGTTGCCGAACATGTCGCCGTCAAATTACAGATTGCTGATCAAACAGTCGTAATTATATCATCCTACATCCGACCAGCCCAATCGTGGGACCCAGACCTGCTGAGAGTAATAAGAGACCGATGCCCAGGGCCTATAGTGTGGTGCGGAGATTTTAATGCCAATCATTACCCCTGGGGAAGTGACACAACGACGGAACGAGGAACCGCACTGCTTGAAGTCACCAGAGACCTTGGACTACGTTGTCTCAACTCCGGAGCTCCAACATTCGTTCGCGCGAATCTACAAAAGGCAAGTGTACTTGACCTCACTTTTGTATCAAAAGAAATAAGATTCCTATGGGACATCGAACCAGACACCTGGGGGAGCGACCACGTACCAATCCGACTCACCCCACGTTATGGCACCCAAACAAAAACCAGGGTTCACAACATTACCAACTGGGACAGGTACAGAGAAGTAGTCTCAAATCTGATGAAAAGCACAAAGGCCCCTTGCTTAGAAGAAGCTATACAAACGTCCTTAAATATAGCTACAACAAAAATCACCCTCCCGATAAGCAAGCCCGTACCCGATCTTACGTATCTTCAAATACGCGCCAATGCCAGACAAGCACAGCGAATCGCCCGACGCACACACCAAGATGAAGATTGGATAAAATCTCGACGCATCGACGCAGCACTTCGTCGATATACCATAAGGCTGGGGAGACTACAATGGGACCAACGCAGTGAAAGTCGACAGATACTGGGTCAAGGCGGCCTTGGACCACTGTGCAATGCCTCTTAGAACCAGTGACTCCCCAATGCCGCTATGCAGCAATTGCAATGGGAAATCAAACATCGCTCCAAGAACTGGCTGAACATTTTGCAGACGAGTTCTCACGCCCCATAAGCCCTCCCCAAGGAAATCCGCCTTCCAAAAGGCCCCCCCTTCCAACCTATTCAACAATCAACATAGACGATGACTTTACCTTGTCCGAGCTCCGATATGCCCTCTCCCGATGCCCTCGACGTGGAGCTCCGGGTCCTGACCGCATCACAAACCAGGCTCTAAAAAACCTAGACGAGTCATTCCTACCCGGACTGTTACAACTTATAAACAATATTTGGCAATCTGGGGATGTCCCTGACACCTGGCGACACTCAGTAATAGTACCAATCAAAAAAACTAACAAGCCTGCAGCTGACATATCTTCGTACCGTCCGATTTCTTTGACTTCGTGCTTATGCAAACTGACTGAGCGCCTGATCCACCGCCGTTTAATTTGGCAATTGGAACGAGCGCAAGCCTTTCCCTCTTAGCTGTCAGGATTCCGAAGAAGCCGGTCAACAACAGATGCTATCGGCGACATCGTATCGTCGTTAGAGCAAGCAAAGGCAGAAGGAAAGGTCATCCACGCCGTTTTTCTCGACATCCATCGAGCATTTGATGCTCTGCCACACTCTGTAATCCTAGAACGACTACAGAACACAGGAATAGAAGGGCGCGCCCTTCGCTTCATTACTTCTTTTCTTTACAACAGAACATTCGCTGTCCGGCTGGCTGGCCGCCTGAGCACGATACGAAGCAGCACCCAGGGGGTACCACAGGGCGGTGTTTTGAGTCCTCTACTTTTTAACATCGTAATGGCTGGACTACCGACTGCTCTTCCTGTGGGTGGCCCTTATCCCATACACTGTGCCATATACGCGGATGACGTCGCGCTATGGTGCGCTGGGCCTACCCGACTGTCCACTACCGTCCGCGCAGTGCTACAACGAGCTCTAGATCGCACGGCCTCTTTCCTCCACCATGCCGGTCTGACACTCTCTACATCTAAGACACAAGCTCTCACCTATCGCCCTAAAGGCAGAATGAAAGGAAAATACTCTGCACTTAAAATTGGAGGCAATGCCATTCGACGTGAACCACAAGTTCGATACTTAGGCGTAATCATTGACGACCGCGTCACTTGGCGCCCCGCGGTAAAAGGTATCCTCAATGAGTCCCATAAGCTCCTCGGCGCTCTCCATCGAATATGTGGAAAAAACTGGGGTGCCAGACAGATGACAATGACGACACTCTACCGAGGACTAATAATAAGTCGTATGCTCTACGCCTTGCCATTCTTAAATATAAATCATACGCAATGGAAATATTTAGAAACCTTCCACAGGAAGGCCCTCCGTTTCTGCCTTGGGCTACCTAAATCTGCACAGAACATTCCAACTTTGACCGAGGCGGGAGATTCTCCACTGCAGCTCCAAGCACAGGAGAAAGCATTAAGATATGTCAGCCGTCTATCAGATGCTCCATCCTCGGACCCACTTCTTCAACGCCTCATAACACGACACCACTCTCAGGTTGGAAAGGCTGTAAAAACATTCCGCGATACTATCGGCTACCCAACGGATGTATGCCCGATACTTCCCCCTTATCGGGACGACTGTCAACTCCACGTCTCAACAGAGATAGCCGACCTCCCCCGACGCAAGCACGTTTCTGAAGTGGTAGCGCGGAGCATCGCCGTTGAGACAATAGAAAATACCTACTCCGGCATGACGCACATTTATACCGATGGAAGCATAAAAGACAGCTCGTGCACTGCAGCCTATGTCTCGCCTGAAGATGGACACCACGGTAAAGGGCGAATTGATATCTGCGTTGATTCCACCACTGCAGAGCTTGCTGCCATTTGGTTAGCAATTACCCAGACTCTACGACACACCAACCTATCCAACATCGCCATCTTCTCGGACTCTCGAGGGGCCTTACAGCAACTAACACGCCTGGAAAAAGCGTGCCCACTAGCCAGATCCATCGCAAATTTGACCAGGCGCGCTGCAAAACAGGAAACAACCATCTGGTTTCAATGGATCCCATCACATGTAGGTATACCCGGAAATGAAAGAGCAGATTCGCTGGCAGCAGAGGCCCACTCAGACCAAAGTCCCACTATCTTTGTCTACCCGTACAACGCAGCAAAATCTCTTATAACAACGGCAATAGAAAGCATGCACCCGTATATTGAAACCAGTTCAACACCCATTCCAGCATTGATTCCGCGAAAAAAGTTCTCCAGGCCTCAACAATCACTCCTACACAGGTTGCGAGCCGACTGCGCTTCAACCAACAAGAGACTTCACCTCATCAAGCGCATTAAGTCTCCCAACTGCACCACATGCAACATCATCGAAGACAGAAACCACATTATTTGGGAGTGTCAGTCGCTAGAAACAGAGCGAACCACACTAACGCAAACACTGAAGGCTCTCCATGTTTCGCCGGGGGATTCCAACGCTCTCCTCTTCCCATCAGGATCCCGGACGAGAAGAACAAATATACTGAAAGCACTCATTGACTATTTAGAAACGACAAACCTGTCATCAAGACTGTGAACTAGCATACAACATGCCTTCATCCTATGGCCGCCGATGGGTCGAAGCGGCGGGTGCTTCGTTCCGTCGCCCTAGTCGTGGCGGAGGCGCTCGTGCCCCGGCGCTTCGGCTTCTTGAAGTCAGCGCCCAGCAGGGGAGCGCGTGCTCCGGCTGCGTTTGGTTCGGCGGTGGGATGCGACCTGTCCTTCCATCGCATCGGCGGCTATACCCTTCATTTCTGTAAATACGCCCATCCCTATTGTCACCTCCTACCCTATCCTCTTTTTCTCCCGATCCCCGCAAGACGACGAACCAGACCCCCCATGGCTGACTAACAATGCGTCTCGCATCCCTCTTTCTATTTTATCTATTCTTTAAATTTTATAATAAAAGCAATATTTACACATACACATAATGGTCATTATAGGTGGATCAGATATTAATTAGCCTTGGTGAGGGCGTCAAGAACGAGAGCTTTCTCGAACAAAATACGACGGGGCAAGTTAGCTGACGTAGGTAAATGTTAAACATGATGATGTTGCCCAATCCTCGGGTAAAGTTACCATCTTTAGCTTTCTCTGATGCTTATTGGGCAGTCAGAGGTTTCTGCTGGGGGAGTTTTATCGACAAATGTTAAATTTTTCACCCGCACACGGATGATGATAGACATCTCGGGGGCCGCTGTTACGTTTGTTCTGAGCATTTCTTTACACACTGGTATATTTCAGCGTTTGTACGGCAACAGAACGATTTAAAACCTGCAAATAAATC